AACTGAAAGTCAAAATAGGGTTACAGGCAACATACTAAGTCAAACATAGTAATGAATACAAGTACGAGTTATAATCAGGTTTATAGAAGGAGAGCAATGGTTACCTTTCAGTTCCCTGCCTCCAAAACTCCTCATGAGTTCCGGCAGAGCTCCCGCAATCTATGGGCAGACTCCCTATAGAGTCTTGCTATGGTCCTACGGGTTGCAATCCCGCCTGCCGCCTTCCTCTCAGAACCAATAGACCAGACTTAGAATTAGAGGGATAGAATAAACGATTTCGGACGCTCGAGATACATGAGAGGGACAACTCAACTCGCAGGAGAGGGCTTTGTTACCTTCATGCGCCTGAGGGCCCCGCAATGGCAGCCAAAATACGCAGCAGCTTGGTCAAACTGACGCTCAATTGCCTACTGTTGACTCCTTGGTGCCTCTCCAACTCTCCACAACACCCCTTCTTACAACAATCTCAACCACCCCATAAGCTTATAATCCTAAGTTTGCGGGCGATGGGAGAGTTTACAACCCTTAAGGCTTGCCTCCTGCTATCTCAACTGGCAGTCTGAACTGGGCATCAGCTGGTAGGAAAACCTGCAATCTTCATGGCTCGCTCGCTGCTGTTCCTGATGACAGGATAGGCTTCACATCACCCGACGAACAAACCTGCAATCTCCCTCCTTCAAAGACAATAGCCGCTCGAAGAAGCTCGCGACCTAAATCGCACTGGCCATATGCTAGCCTGCACTCTCGCTGCTGGTCCACTGTAGCCCACTCGACGCACTGAGCTCTGCGCCGACCAGTAAGAAAAACGGTGATCTTGCTGCCTCGGTCTAATTATTTGTTGCCCCCCTACTTAGTAGGAAGCGTAGCATGCCGGCTCATAGAGAAGTCCTCAGCTCGCGCTCCGCCTGCAACCTCTCATTCCGCAGGCTGCGCAGTACATCAGTTAGTTGACAAGTCCCCTATTCCGGCAACTCTTCTTCTGTAACTTCACGTATCAGGGCAGGCAACACTTTGACTAACAGGTGAACCCTCTGATCGTGTGACTGGCCTTACCCCTATTCCATTGACAGGATGAGTAGCACGGCAGCTAAGCAGCGAAACACAAGGTCGCACCAACAATACGACCACACCGCACAGCGAACATGTCAATCCGCAGAGAACTCCATGAGACACAAACAGCAGGGCAGCGGCGGGGCGCAGACGTGGACGTTCATATATCCAAGACGGAGCAAGCCATATATATCCTACTCATACCACGATTGAACCCCGTGGACTGTTGGTTCCCAACTTCCCACCACCCGCTAAGTCAGGGAGTCGCTTCGACAAACATCTTTTATTTCCTACAGAAAACACAGATATCCCAGGCCGAGCGGCCCCCATCTCGACGTGCCTGACTCGGTGGGTGGCATCCTCCCGATCCCATTTCCTTCTTTGCCTAGGTATGCGACCTCTCTCTCTTATACACATCTAGATGTGTATAAGAGACAGGTATGCGACCTCTCTCTCTCTCTCTCTCTCTCTCTCTCTCTCTCTCTCTCTCTCTCTCTCTCTCTCTCTCTCTCTGGGCGCGAGCCTTCGGTGCTACGCCCGCTGTTCCTGACTCAACGATCGCCACTCAATCCAAAATCTAGATGGTTCCTCCGCTAAAACACGGACAGATACACTCTATTCTTAGTCATGCGCATAACGAGATAGAGAGCGGCTACTCTACCATTCGGGTAAGCAGCACATCGATCAATGAGGTGAGTATCTCCAGCTCCGCAACTAAACCCGCTCTACATCCATCATAAAGGCTGAGCAGAAAAAAATACGGATGAATCTTCCGCTAGACAGCGGAAAAATTCATTTTCTTTCTCGAAGCCGCCCCCGAGCGGAGCTCTCAGCACCGACCCCGGGCAAACCTCTGGCCTACAACCCAAACTATCACTACCATCATGCTCGCAGTACCCGAAGACCCGTACCTGGCACCTTACTTTGCTCCATTCTGTCTAGAATCGAGCGAAAACTTTGGGCCATAATCCCACCATCTGCACTCCCCCGACCTCACCACGCACTGTGTCTCTCTTACAACTCTTATTCTATTAATCTAACGCTAAAACCAACCCCGGAATCGAGCTCGCCCTATTCAAGAACCATGAAAATAAGTCTCGGTTTGCCCGATTCCGTCGAGAATCGGGCGGTTTACTCACTTTTCCCTCTCACCTTTCTCCTTCGCAACTCGGCTATTGCCATCCCCTGCGCGGCTCCTTTTTCCTACAACACGAAAACTAACCTTCTTTTCCTAGATCTAACTGCACCAACTAACTCGTAACCATAAAACCCCCCTACTTTGTATCTTTCCGCGCCCGATTCTGCTAAGAATCGGGCAAACTATCAGCTTCTTTCCTCGCCCGCCATGTTCCTCCATAGCTTCGTACTCCGAATGGATCCGGCGCGGAAACACGCCCTGATTCATTCCCCTTTTTTACTACCTCTTTTGCCTTGTCACTCCCTGCTACTACCACAGTACCTGTCGTAGCGGCCTAACAACGCCCGACGCAGCCTGGTCAGGTTCATTCCTACGCTGCCCGCCTTCTGCTTCCGCACCCCCTTCCTCTCGGCTCGGGTCGTTGTGCTCGTCACCGAGCGGCTAACGCTGCTTCCGACCCCGCAATCGTCCGACCGTCGACGCAGCGCTCGTCAGTGATCGTTACCACCCAGTGCCCACCGGTCCGTCTGTTTTCGTGGGGACTCTCATAGCTGGGCTGGTTGTCGATAGTTCTATTAGCCCTTTTTTCCCTTATACCCAACTTCAACAAATGATTTGCATGGGGCGGCTCTGTCACAGCCACCCGCTCCCGTTCTGCTCTAGCGGGGTTTGTCTACCGCCTCGGGCGTCCAACAATTAGCCCTCACACAGACAGCCGACCGAGGCGCGGCGTGCCGCAAATCTTAGAATGGGCCGTCGAGGGCAGGGCCCAATGTGGGTATCGGCGATAATATCAAATATTCAAATGGGAGTTTTGAAGACCTAGGTGGAGGACAGCCCCGCAATCCGCAGCCTGCCACAGCGCCGCTGCGGTCTCCCGACAACACCTGGGCATGGGGGAGAGTCCCGCGGGTCATACTCTCGCCCAAACCCTTTACCACAGATTGCGGGAAACGGACGACGCTCCTGCAGAATGTCCCTGCTACCCAAGTTTGTCCTGGCTCCGGGCTAATCACCTGCCTGCTCACATGCACATCGATCCCCTCGGCCCACGTTTCAAGACGACAGGGTAAAAGAAAATCGCCAGCTTCTCAAGCACACAAGAACCTGCAGGTCAAAAAAAAGGCACGGTCAAGGTCCTCGGCCGACATGACGGTCCTTAAATCTGGCGCCACGTCCGAGTTAAGGAACGCCGGAGCATAAAAATAATTATAATACGTCGTTAAATAACAAATTATTTAGGAAATTCCAAACGTCAGAATATGACGAACGCGAAAAAAAGAAACGTTAGCACCGTTCTAACACCGTCGACGACAAAATCAAGGGGAATAACCCCACCAGGCCCTCGACCTCTTCGGTCGCACCGCTCTACTCCGATGTTCCCGTGCTGTCGCCTCTCCATCTCATCCCCTGAGTCTCCCTGATGAAAGTCCGATGTTGTAATCAATAATTTTAGGCCCAAGGCTGAGTCTAATTTTGACGAACACCTACATAAACGAATACTGCGAGACGCGCAGACCTACCGAATCGTTTTCAGAACCACCCAGCTGTTGACGCCGTCCTCCGCCTGTACCCACGAGTCACCAGTAAGTGCACCAGTTTAAACGACAAAAACCTATTTAGTCATAGTTTAATCAAAAAATAAAAATTTGGTAGGCGCCCACGCCGACTCTTCAGTCATCAAAGATAAAAAGAAATCATGCGCGCCTTAAGTCTATGCTCTCACACATTCTCTACTCTAATCAGCCATTCAGTCAACGTAAACCATAGACACTGCTGCGACTCGCGCGGTATACTCAGACTTTTAAACTAAACTTATTATTCGTCACTTGCAAAAACTAGGGCGGATACCCTTGTAAGGGTATTCGCACCGACAGCGCCCCGTAGCTGCAGGCCATCGCTCTTCGTATCATATACATATGGACATGTTCCTCTCCCACAAAGAGGAACTGGGCCGTTCACAAGGCTGTGCACACTAAGAAGCGTAACAAGCTCGAGTTCGAGAAGGTCGTGAAGTTGGTCGAGATCTCGGCCAACGTCCTCCTTCTCTCTCACTAGCGGGCTGACCGCGGCTTTGCGTTGCCATGGACGATCGATGAGTCGATGTTGGCTGTGGAGGGAGGCATAGGGACGCAGCCGTTGTGGTAGGGGACGAACACCAGCAGGACACAGGAGGACCGGGAAAGGCAGAGACGTGCGTGGACGCGAGACCCGTGTGGGTCGAGAGCTCCTCCGGGAGAGGTTGGAGAAGTTTTTGGGACTCGAGCTGCCACGTTGCGCCCTTACCCCAGAGATGACAACAGTGATGACGAGGGCTCTAAGGGGGACGACGAGCGGGCGGGACGTGCTGACCATCCGACCTCACAAGAGGCTGATGAGTGGAGCGACCCGGAGGACGTTCGTAGACGTAGCGGCGGGGGCGACCTTTTTGGTGGAGGTGGTGGGAGCCCTTTTGAGCGAGAGCGGCCTTCGTTTCCGGGGCCCCAGTCCGTCGATACGCAGGTGGTGCACGGATCTGCGCGTTCGAGGGGGGCAAAGTCAGCGGTGGGTATCGGCGTTCCTGGGCATATCATAGGTTCGCCCCCCAGAGGGCGATTTTGCATAGATTGGTGAAGGGCCCGAGACAACGATTAGAGGAGAGATTGTCGGGCGGTCCTTCACCGGGTGAGAGGGTTGAGAGAGATGTGGAAAGACCCACTGGTGGACCTACTGCTCCATTGGCAGGAGATGTATGTAGTCCAGTTCAGGAGGCGGTTCAGACAAACGGTCTTGTGGGGGTCGTGATGACAGGATATCGATGGGCGGTGGCAGAGGTTTTAGTCAGTTTATTGATATGGGCCCCTCAGAAAGAGTGATTGTCGGGGGGATTTGAGTGTCGGCATGCAGGCCATATTAGATTAGATCAGCGCGATGCAGCCACAGACCTTCACCCCTGCCATGCGCGGAGAGTTGGGAGCGTCGCCAGCGGTGGCAGAGGTAGATGAGGACCTCACAACCCCTGGAGAGACATCTGTAGAGAGGCTGGACAGGTTTGATAGTCACCGAGCTTGCCTCCTGGCACGAGCCGACCCCATGACGCAGGAGTTGGCTCGTCTAGCAGCGAAGGAGCGACAGCGACAGTTGGGGACCTTTATGGAGATCCCCCCTGACGCACAGGCGGCTGCTCACATCGATCTGATGACAGAGGTTCGTGATGGGACGCAGGTGGAGGTAGCTGGACGCGAGGCAGCTTTCGCAGGGACGCAGGGGGAGGCAGCTGCAGGCGAGGCGATTTCAGCAGGGATACAGGGGGAGGCAGGTGCAGGCGAGGCGACTTCACCAGGGATGTCGGGGGAGGCAACTGGACATGAGGCAGGTGGAAGCGGGACGGGTGGAGGCGAGGCAGCTGGGATGCAAAGGGAGGCGCAGGGGTTGCAGGAGACCGAGGTCCCCACACCAGACGACCCGCGTCTGGTGCCCGACCTGCCTCTTCACGACGGGCAGAGGACCGAGGATGCTTTCCGTGAGACAGAGGACATGCCTCCGGGTCTGGAGGACATACGGGCGGATCAGTCGATGGGCGTTGATGATGGTACCCCATCGGCACAGCCAGACAGGATAGCGCCGACCACGGGGGGGGGGGGGGGCGTCACGGGGGACGCTATAGTTGAGGGGGGGAAGGACTTAGAGGAGCGAGTTCAGGGTGATCCGGTGTCCTCAGTTGGGGTTGGTCGCCATGTAGAGGTCGATACCATGTTGTACATAGAGAGGAGGCGATAGGTACGCCTGACAGAGACAGACAGGAGGCGTCGCGGAGCTTGGTGGTCCGCACTGCCGTGGGGCCGGTGGTGCCACATAAGGCAGCGCTTCCTGTAGATCCGATGCGTTGTGCAGGTGGTGTCGCCGTGTTCGTAGAGCGATGTGTAGGCAAGGGCATGTGCGCACCTCCGATCCCACCTTTCGCAGCATCTAGGGAGAGGATACAGTCGAGGTGTGTGCCTCAGCCTCGTGGCACCGTTGCTTTCGGTTGTATGACTGCCGAGGAGTTGGAGGCGCACGGCACGCTGGATTACACCGGGATCGACACTAGCCGGTCAGACTTGTCTTGGGCGCCAGCCAGCCCTAGCTTACCATCTGGAGGGTCTAATGCAGTGCCCTCTCACGGGAATGGAGGGCCATTGTCACCCACGACCGGAGATATCCATCCGCGGGGTCGGCTGCCCATAGACAGAGAGACACGAGCGACCATGGACGGGACACGATTTTGTTCGGTCGCACTGATCGGCCATGGAGCGAGACGAGACGGGTGACATCGGCGAGCGCGGGTCGTCGGCCGGGTTTGAGAGGGGTTTCCACGAGTGGGGGTCGTCGAGATATTGTGGCGTCAGGGTTTGGCGACAGACGCGGGGATAGTGGCGGTATGCGTGGTGGACGTGAGGGCACGCACGATGCCGATGCAGAGACAATACATCGCCAACTAACGTACGGTTTGAGAGAGACTTCTATCATTTTAGACGAGCCTGAGGTTGGTCGACGAGCCAGGCAGGCCCGACACGTGCCGATTGATCGACATCAGGAGGGGGAAACTTTAGGGACAGACGGTCTGCCTATACGCCGCGAGTCTCGCCGACATGTTGATTTAGCAACCGCAGGCATCAGACCACGTGGCGGCAGGAGAGTTATCATGGACGACGACCCCGATGACCCTCCAGAGCCTTCCACTATTGGTCGCGGCGAGCAACACCAGAGAGGTCGACCACGTGGCATTGGTCGGACTCATGGACGAGCTTCACATCGGTCAGGGAAACGTTCGCCTGCAAATGAGGATTGTTGACTGTGTTCCGATTTCCTTTTTTTTTTTTTTTTTTTTTTTTTGTAGTTTAGTTTTTTGTTCTCCGTGACCAACATAGCATTCAGTGATTTTGTGCAGTTCACTCTTCACACTTGTTTTTGTTCACTACTTAGAGACAGGCATTAGGGTCGGTCTTCAACATCATGTTTCGGGATTTTATATAGATGACGCAGGTGTTTCGGGATTTCTTTCTGTAGTTTAGATCGAGGTTTTCCATTACCGACGGGTGGTTGACTCTATGTGTCAGATGTATTTTGCTATTATGCACACTAGACTGAGTTGTGTTTCGGACCAGATATCTCCGCATTTGTGGTGTTCCTGTTTTATGGATGACGAGTGTTGCATGTGTGGTTTTATGTTTTTCCCCGTTCTCGTTTCATACGTTTGATAAACCAATGTGTGAAATCGCATCTGAGTCCATAAATGGAGCGACAATTAGATAAATGTGTGTGCGTGTATGTGTGTGTTTGTTTGTTTCAACTCTCTCACAACACCCAAGTGCAACATCTCAGAAAACCAAAAAACCATTGTTGAATTATCCCCCCCCCCCCCCCCCCCAACCCCCCCCCTCGACCACCCCCTACCATCCCAAATTGCACCACACGCTATCCAAACAAATGCCGATGCGTGGGTGCATAGCATAGTCGGGGAAGATCATAACCCACACCATCACAAAATATAAACCACACAACAACATTGATCCTCAGGGTGTGGTTTCAAAATAGGAGTGATGAGGGATGGGAGGTGGCGGGTTGGTGAAGGTGGGCCGAAGGCCTGGTGACGGGCCATCGGCCCACCTATACCACCCCACCACCTCCCATCCCTCATCACTCCAAATTTGAAACCACACCCTGAAGGAGCGGTTTGCGGGGTCGTATATCGATTTTTTTTATTTATTTATTTTTACGTTCGGGGGAGGGGCCAATGGGGTGTGGAGGCGACTGGGTGGGGGGATGGGGGATGTGGGGTGGTGGGGTGGGGGG